TTTAAAAATTATAAAATACAGAAGCGGAGATCTGCGGAGTTCTAAAAATACGCAATTTCAAAGTTTAATTTTTTTCAAAAAAACGCTCTGCTATGTTTGAGATAACTACTAGCTTCATAAAAAAATATTTAAGTTAATAAAATTCTCGTAAAAAGTACCTTACCTTGGTCTTCAAAATCCACTATAATTTAATTTATTTCCAAGTCTCTGAACTAAGAACCAAAATATATTAGCAACACTAAACCATTATCAGCAAATAACTGATATATTTAAACTACAAAATCTAACAAAAACAACATTCCTGCACGCTTTTTTATTACGATTCAAAAGTGAATCGTGATAAATTTGAATAAATGGACCCATCATCTGTTGAAAATAATATCATTGTTGAAATTTTCGAAATTTTTTTCTTGATCCCTATGCGTCGATTTTTTTGAATCTGAACCAATGTGCGGCGGTCCTCGGCCATATCATTGTCAATGGCCTACTAACCTGACGAGTGTCTAAATCAACTCTTACGAGATATCCGATCTCAACCGGGCTCGAACCTCCGGGGGAAAACTCATATTATTATTGTTTATTGACGTTTTCTTTAATAAAGATGGTTTTAAGTTCTGAAAGATTGCCTATTGCTGCTTTAATTGATCATGGTAGAGATCAACTTTTGGACTTAAAAACATCTCTGCTAGGCTAACTGCCCAAAAGAAAATAATGATATAATTTTCAAAGAGAGTGATATTACATAAATCATAAATATTTTATAGGTCTTTGAACAAAAAGCAAAAGTATCGCTTCAAAAGCGAATATCTCTATCTAAACTATCCAGGAAAAATACACGTAGGTGATAAAATTATTTTGAAATTCCTTGCTTTGTTAACGTACTCCTCAGGGCATTTTAAACTTTCACCATAATATATCAACTTTGTTTTCCCTCGTATAATTGACAGATAGCAACTTTCATTTTTAATTTAGAATGAGATACTAAAAAGTCAAATAATTCAGCTACAAACTGCTTAAGAAATCATCAAAATCGGCCAACTAGAACAAAATATATTAAACTTTAAAATACATGAAAATTTTAAGGTGCCTGTTTTTCGTGCCGGTGAGTGTATATAAAAATCTAACTAAAGTCTTTTATAAATAGACTTTAATCGTTTTAACGACTTATGTCTTTTCTAAAAAGACAAATCTTTTAATGGATTTAAGTGTTTTTAAATTTTTTTTCATATCGGTCTAGAACGTCTTGCGACGTTGTCCGATGCCTAACTTCCACGTCCTCCGATCGTTCCATTGTCCCTCGTTTAGGTTTCTGGCACTCATTGCTCTTGTGACACCCTCCTTCCAAGTCTTCTTAGGTCTTCCACGTTTTCTTCGATGTTGGGGTATCCATTGCATAATTTGTTTTGGAAGTCGGGTGTCCTCCATCCTCTGGACATGTCCGTACCACATAAGTTATTGGCGTTCGATGTCGGTTGCCAAAGATCCCTCTATTCCTATTCTCTGTCGGATTTCTTCGTTTCGGACTCTATCTCTTCGGGAAACTCCTAAGGTTCTTCTATAGGCATCCATTTCTACCGCTTCCAGTTTTCTTCGGTTGGCTTCCGTTATTCGTCAAGTCTCCGCGCCATATAGTAGACTGCTCTTTACCAGGGTCTCGTATATATTCATCTTCCGTTTTTTCCCTATTTCATTACTCCAAAATACTCCATTCAGACAGCCAATTGTTCTTCTAGCTTGTGATATTCGTTTTTTAATTTCTTTGGCATATTTAGCTGTTGTATCGAATATCACCCCTAGGTAGGTGTAGTCATTGCATGCTTCTATCTCTACATTTTCTAGATGTACGCTAGATAATTCTGCATCAATGGGTAGATATTTAGTTTTCCGTGTGTTTATTTCCAAACCCCATAGTTGATATTCCTCTTGTAGTTTTCTTGCCATGTGCTCTAAATCATCTTTATCGTTGGCCATAAAAACTTGATCATCTGCAAAACTGCAGGTATCTCCCAGATTAATGCCCATTCCATTACATTTTCTCTTCCATTGTCACATGGCCTTTGCTACATATATTTTAAATAATGTGGGAGAAACACAGCATCCTTGTCGTAGACCTTTATTGACAAAGAATTTTTCAGATAATGTGTTGCCTATTTCGATTTGTGATGTTGAATCTTCGTACAAGTTTTTCAGAGCTCTAATTAAGGTGTAGATAATGTTGGTGTCCTGTAGTACTTTGAATAGTCTGTTAACTGGAACGGTATCATATGCTTTGTAAAGGTCAATAAACATGAGGTGTGTCTTCTGATCAATACTACTTTTTTTCTCTATTAGTTGTTTCAGGCAGAAAATATTATCGGTACAGGTTCTCCCAGTCCAAAAACCAGATTGTTCCTCCTCTTCTTGTTGTTGGTATTCCTGTTCTATTAAATCTCTAAGGATTCGTCCGTATAATCGACTTAGGGTATCTGTTACCGATATACCTCTATAGTTGGAGCACACTTGTTTATTTTCCTTTTTGTGGATTGAGGATATATAGGCGATTCTAAACTCTTTTGGTATTGGGGCGCCGCCGCCGTTTAAGAATCTTTTTATACACCAGGTTAAGGCTTTAAATAGTCTTTCTGTTCCACATTTCAACAATTCACCTGGAATATTCTCCGTTCCCGGGGCTCTGTTATTTTTCAGTGCTGCCACTGCCTTTTTCATTTGAGGTATGTCGATGTTAATAACTTCTCCGGAAATATTTATTTATGTGGGTGATATTGTGGCGTATTCCTGCCTATTTTCTGTTAGGAGTTCTTCATAGTATTCCTTCCATTTGTTCATTGGTATTAATTGTAGCTTGGCCGTTTGTTTTTCTGAGGTTTTGACTTTGTTTATGAACTTCCATGACTCGGCACACTTCCTTCCTCCCAAATAGGTATTTATTTCTTGACACTTCTTATCCCATATTTCTCGTTTTGCAGTTCTTATTTTTTGTCTTGTTGTTCTTTTAACTTCTAGATATGTGTCTCTATCTTGTTGTTGTTTACTACTCAACCATTTTTTGTACGCGTTTTTCTTTTCCTTAATTAAGCAATCTATTTCTTCATTCCACCATATGTTGTTACTTTGAACCTGGACTCTTAATCCAAGAGCTTCTTCCGCTGCACTGTGAACACTGCTTATAATATTTGCGTATATTTCTTCAACGCTGTTGTTCTGAGTTATACTTATCAGTTTTTCATCCAATCTTTTACGGTAAAGTTGTCTGGTACTCCCGGTTATTAGGCTATCCAGATTATATCGCTTAGATTCAATACGTTCGGTATGCTCATAATTTCCATTGGTTTCCTCCCTTGTGTCACGTCTGAATGGGAATATTATTTTAGCTTTGACTAAGTAATGATCTGATCCACATGTAATGCCTCTATATGTCCGTACGTCATTTATCTGAAGTGTTGTTTGTTGTCTTACTATGACGTAGTCTATTATTGATTTTAGATTCCTAGTTGGTTGTGTCCAAGTGTATTTATGTATATCCTTGTGCTTATAAAAGTCATTTGTGACTTTTAATAGGTGACTTTCACAAATTTCTATTATTCTTTCGCCATTATCATTTAGAGTTATTTCTCCATGTGGGCCCACTACTTTATGGTTTGTCCTTCGTCCAACTCTACCGTTAAAATCGCCAAGGATTATAAGTTCTCTTCCATTCCCTATTTTTGTTATTTCCTTATTAAGTTTTCCAAAGAAATCGTCCTTCTTATGATACGGCTCGTCATCAGAAATTGCATAGACTCCAAAAATGGTGACTGATTTTTGATTTATATTCATATTAACTTTAATTATATTTTCATCTATGCTCTCAAAGTCTGTGATTTTATTTTGGTGTTTTTTATGAATCAAAATGGACATACCTCTTTTTCGCTCTTTCATGTTTTGCAACACCACTAAAAATATGCACATAATTGTTACTTAGTTCTGTGCCATTGCCTTTTCTTTTTGTTTCAGTTAAAGTTACAATATCCATTTTTAATACTTAATTCTTCCCTTTAATGACTTAATTCTTTTTCTATTTTGAAATAAAAATTTAAATCACAAATTATATTGAAATGTAGCTAAATAAGAAATGGTACTTAATAAATAATAATGAGTTAAGCTTCATTCAGAACCTCGTAATTAGTGGAATAAATTTGTGGTTTCAATTGCACTTTATACATTTTAGTTTACGATCATTCACAATGTCAAAAAACACAATTAAAATTAATAGAATATCCTAGCAACAGCTTGCGGTAATCAGATGTATCCATAGAGAAAGCGTAATATTTAACTTATAAAACAATAAACTTTTGGTTTCTAACCGCATTTTTCTCTTGACTACTACTACTACTATTACTGCCATTACTCACTGACGAGTATTTGACACGGATCAGAAGATGGTCACGCAAGGCGTTTTCTTTCATGATCTTTTCTGTGACTGAGAAGCTCGATACGTGATATTATCTATCTACCGCACTCCAGACATTCAAAAATCTCATTGCTTTGTGGCCTCCTTACTTTTTGGTTGTCGCTGTTAACTGACTTTACAATTCTTCTCCATTCCGTTCTATTGTGAGCTGCTTCTTCCCTCTCATTCTGCTTGTTAATTCCCTTTAAGTTTTCGTGAAAAATATCCTCGTACCTTTTGAGTTGTCCATCCGGTCTCCTCTTACCGTCTACAAGCTCACCGTAAAGCAGGTTTTCTTGCATTCTGTATACGTGACCAGTCCATCTTAAGCGGGACTTTGTAATCATGACTTCAATACTCTCACAGTTAGATTTTTCAAGGACCGATACGTTTGAGACACGATGGAACCATTTTATTCTTAAGATTGTCTAAAATGTCTCTGTTGCAATGTTGTTTAATGCGTTCGTGTGTCGGCGGTACGGCACCCAGGTTTCGCTTCCATATAACATGGTGGGAATTATTATTGCTCGGTACACTGCAAGTTTCGTTTTTGTGCTCAAGTCATGATTGTAGAAAACCCTGTCTTTTAATTTTCAGAATGCTCTTGAGGCGCTGCTAATCCTGTGCTGAATTTCAGAGTCGATATTGGCCTTTTCCGAAATCAAACTGCCGAGGTAATTGAATTCCGCTACATATTCCAATAGCTCTTCTCCGATTTTTATAGCATTGTTGTGATCTTCCGGGTGAATGCACATGATTTTAGTTTTATCATGTTCTGTATAGATGTTCAGCTTAAGTCCCAAAGCCTCGTATGCCCATGTATATGTGTTCAAAATTTCTTGCAATTGCTGTAACGTATTTGCAACTAGAGCACAGTCATGAGCGTATTGAAGTTTTGTAATGAATTTTGTGCGTGTTTTTGCCCTGAGTCTTTTTATGTTGAACAGACCGCCCTCGTATCTGTATCTAATGCCCAAACCTCTCTCCAGCAGTTTGCTGTCCACTATAATGGAGAGCGCTGCCATGAATATATTGAATAGGAGAGGCGCTAAGACACATCCCTGCCTAACGCCTGTGTTTGTTAGGAAGGGATCGCTCAGTGATCCATGATATGACACTCTTGATTTGTTGTTGTTATGGAGGCTTTTACACACTGTAAGAAATTTGTTGGGTACTCCGAACTTTTTCATAATTGCCCAAAGTGCATCTCTGTTCACAGAGTCGAAGGCTTTTGTTAGATCGATGAATGCAACGTAAAGTTTAGACTGCTGCTCTTTTACTTTTTCCTGTAGTTGGCGGGTAATCAATACTATATAATAAAGCGGATAATCAATACTATAATCAACACCCCTTGCACCCCAAAATGATAATCAAAGGCCAAAATGGTATTCCTCTCAAATTTTGAAGTATAATTAGTGGAAAAATTGAAAGTTTGCTAACTTTTCCACCAATTGAAAATTCCTACCATTAATTTTGACGTTCTGAATGCTTACATTCAAATTAGAGGAACGAACTTCTACGCTAATTGAAACCACTAAAGGTTGATTCTCACTATACCTTCCGTTTCCATTCCATATCCGTTCCGTACACTGATAAAAAAGATAGACTTGAACTAAAGTCGTCATCGTTCTTGAAAAAAAATTTAGTGACAAGAGAATTTATTTCAGCGTAAAAGAAAATATTTTGCCTGAAGAAAAACTCTCTTAACTCAAGAAAACTGGTTCTCTTTAAAAATTCGAAAATTTCTCTTGAATCTATATTCATTCAACCAAGTGCAAGTTACTTTGTTTTAAGATAATAAGAAAAATACGCTAGGGAGTACTTCATTCAAGAAACAAGGCCATTTTTCCAATAGCTAAATACTCTTTTGATGAAAAATAACAACGACACGCAAAGACGATGACGAAGAACGGTATATACAATCAGACGGCAGTACGATCAGTCGTACATCATAGTACGCACGGGTTTTGTTGCTTGGAATTTTCCACTTGGAATTTTGCATAATCTTTTTAAACGCATATCGTATAACAAATTAGTGATCGTTATTAACATGCATTTGTCATTTGGACAAATTTTAGGATATATGGATTCTTTAAAGGAGTTTCTGAAAAAATGGAAATTAGAGTATTTATTTGCTATATTTGAAGGTAAGAGACATTTACCTAATGCACCTGTTTAGATAATGCATGTGTGACTATAGATCAGTAGTTCCCAAACTTATTTTTCTCGTGGGCCACTTTCAAAATTTTACTGGTTTCGGTGGACCCCCTGCTGCTACATTTCTACCACATTCTTAAAGTCGCCAAAAAATAAAAATTGTGTCACTTCTGAGTTCTGTCCCTATATTCCGATATGTAAAATAAAAACGAAAAATGGTACATTTTATATCACTTTATTTATTAAAAGAATAGAATTACAAGAAAAATATTAAGGTAATATAGGTTCAGGTCATAATTTTAATTAATGGGAAGGATGTATCTGATGGAGTGTCAGCAAACGATCAATGTTTGGCTTTATTTTTGTGAGCAATAACCGCAAATCCCCCGCTCTGTGATGTTTAATTTGCTCCTTTTTTTTTTGTTAAGAGGTTTGTAACGGCACTAAAACTCCTTTCGACAAGGTATGACGAGGGAAAAGCTATTAAAAATTTCCTTGCGATTTCCCACAGTCCAGGATATTTTTCGGGTATTTCTGCTTGCAGCCAAAATGTTGGGTAGCCTTTTCTAAATTTCACCTTCAGCTCCTCATTAGTGCTTAGCTCGAGCAGCTCCTCTTGTAATACAACATTGGCCACTTCCGTTTCATCAAATGGATTTATGATCCATGGTGGTATATCCATCGTCAGTATATCTTCAAACCTGGTTTTGAAGTCATCATGCAGAGCACTTAAATGTTGACTGTAGGTATGGATATCCTCATCAATACATTCTACCTGCGACAAGTTTGGAAATTGAGAGAATTCGCGCCGACTAATGTTTTGCTTCATAAATTTCAATTTCCCAAGAAAAGCCGAAATTATCCCCTTTGTTTTTATTAAATTCAGGCTGTCCCCTTGTAACTGCAAGTTAATATCATTAAATTTTTTAAACAAATCTGTCAAATACGCAATGTCTGCTTTGAATTTGATCAAGTTTTCTTTTAAATCTGGATCTCTACTTTCTAAGAACTCTAATATGGAATCGAAAACAGAGTAAAATCTCGTTAAGCATGCACCTTTCGACAACCAGCGTACTTCAGTATGTAAGAGCAGTCGTTGGAAGTCTTCATCATTTTCGTCGCACAATTGAGCAAATAAACGCGTATTCAATGCATTGCTTCTGATTTTGTTGACAGCTTTTATTACAAAATGAAGAGATTGGTTCAACCTGTCACTTAAATGTTTTGCCACAAGATGTTGTCGGTGGATTACGCAATGAATAGCTGTAAGTCCTGGTATAATTCTTTTGAGATGACTTATAAACCCACGATATCGCCCGACCATTGCAGGAGCTCCGTCTGTTGCCACTGAAATAATGTTTGTAAATGGGATCGATTTTTCCGTAAAAAAATTACTCAGGACATTAAATATTGATTCGCCTTTAGTGTCAGTCTCCAAAGTTCTGGCAAATAGCAATTCTTCGTGAATTTCTTCCTCAACAATAAATCGGACATATGCCAATAGTAATGCTTCATTACTGGGTAACGTTGACTCGTCCAGTTGTATAGAAAAATGAGTTTTTTGCAGATGATTGCACAAAAAGCTTTCGATATCAGAGCTCATTTCATCAATGCGTCTTTGTACAGTATTGTTACTTAATGGAATTCTTTTTAGTACGTCAAATGGAGATTTGTGCAAAACAGTTTTTAAAACCTCTTCAACAGCGGGTAAAATTAATTGTTCTCCGATAGTGTGCGGTTTTCCAGATTTTGCTATAAGTAATGAGATATTGTAAGATGCCCGCAAGCCATCATCGTTACTTTGAGATGTTGAAGCGAACATACTGTGCATGGTGGGTCTCTTTCCATATTTTTCTTTCAATGTTTGAAAATATTTTAAATCTTTACCTATTTTATCAGTATGACACCTTTTTAGATGATCTTCGAGCTTTGATGGTTTCATAGAGTCATTGCTCAAAACTTTGTTGCATAATAGGCACATGGGCAATTGTTTGTCTGCCTCTGATGGAACAAAACCATATTTCAAATAATCGATACTATATTGTCGACATTTTTTCTTTGCTGTAGCCATGTTTCGTGTCAGTTACCTTACCTGTAAAAAAAAAATGTTTTAGTAACCAAGTTTTTTTCTGAATATAGGTATCACACCGCAGCCTTTGTCAGCACGCGGAAATAGAATTACGGCTTGTAAAGGGACCAACTAATAAACCGCTGAGACAAATACAGACGT